CTCGCCTCTTTTTAAGTTTCCGTCTAGAACACTTTATCATGGCTAATTATATAACCTCACAAAACACAGGGTTGGGATAAAAAGGCTCAGTTTTGCCGGAAGAAGTTGCTGAGGGAGTGCGGGAGACGCTACTGAAGCCTCGCCTGGTAACACTTTATGGTATTTTGAAACAGGAAGGGATCGGAACTGCCTCTTTGTCTGGCCGAAAAGCTGCCGTTGGACTACCAAGTAGCGTACGCCTTGGTGAAAGAACACCTTCACGACTTAAACGACACACTCAAAGTTTGTTGAAAGATAGGAACGTACAACAACCGTCTATTCTGCATGCCTTGGCTATGGGAACTTCCTTCGGGTATTCAACGGATATTAGCTACTGGGGATGCAGACACCGACATTGATAGATTGCCTAACATCACTGACCGTATGCACGACAGAACATCTAAACGTTGAAGGGTTTGCTGTGCTAACATAGGACGACCAAACAGCTGCTCTAGAGAGGGAGGCTGACATGCTTGCAGGACAACTGACAGCCCTGCAGTTACATCGATGGCCACCGAAATTACGCAGAGGTGGATCCTGCAGCCGTGGTGAGACGAAGAATGGAACAGCGTTGAAAAGTAGCATGCGCTGGCACTGCGTGAAAGAAAGCGCATGGTCGTCCGTTATCATGCGATGTTAAAGCCTGTTTTTCGGGAAGTGGAAACGCCAGAGTTCAGCAACGACCGCTGTTACCGGCGTACAACAACTCAATTGTTTCGGGTGACGGTTAAGAAGACCTGAGCGCAGTTTCTGGCTGATACTGGGGCAGGAGTGAGCGTGTTCCCACCCAATCTTCCGAAAAACACCACCCCAGCCCGATGTTGGTGCTGCAAGTTGCAAAGGGATTTAATACCACATATGGAACCGGGGCTTCAGTTCTTGACTTGAGTTTTCGTGCACAGTTCCATTGGCAATTTTCCGCTGGCAACTTGTCATCTCTTTTAATTGGCTTAGGTTTCCTTCAACACTGGTAACCTGCTGGTTGACTATAGTCTCCACAGACTGGTTAGCTGTAATAATGAATTTTCTATCGCGGGTACTGTCACAGAGACAGGAACGATAGATCCGGTCATGGCTCCGATTAATAACACTTCTGAGTAGGACGTCTTTCTGCTACAGTTTCCTGAGCTCGCACAAAAGGATTACGAGGGGTCCACGCTGAAATATACGGTTACACATAGTACTACTACAAAAGGCCCTCCACTCTCATCATAACCTCGAAGGTCAGATCCCGAGAAACCTTGGACAGCTAAATGGGAAGTTGATAGACTTCCAAAGTCAAGGGTGACACACCCTTCCAACTGCAGATGGTCATCATCACCTTACATGGTTCCTAACGAGGCATCAGATGAAATACGACTGTTGCGTCAAATCCGCTGTGTAGCAAGTAATGAAGATACCAATTTTTGGAGCTCCCGAAACCCAGAGCGAGACCGACTGAATCCACAACAACTGGTTGCTAAAAGCGAATGTATATTCAAACAATAGGTGAACCCTGCGAAAATTGTTCTTTACAACAAGATACATGTCCAAAACTTAATTAAAAACCTTCATTTCCGATGGCTACTGCAGCTTCTATCCAAAACGAAGTACACTTGTAACACTAATCAAAACAAGAGGTTAAATATGATTGCACGAACAAATTGAATAAAGCCAAACAAAAAGAGTGGTCAATGTTATTGAATACATCAGAAGAACAAAATCCAAACACATGCAACGACGACCTAGCGGTGATTATTGAGTGTTAAATAAGTGTGCTGCCCTTGGTGAATATCCAGTTCCTCACAAGGATGATTTTGTGGGCTTCGCGACGAAAGTAAGTATTTCTTCTAAGATTGACCCCGTGAGAGCTTATTACCATATTTCAGTGGAACCCAGTGATGTTCCTAAAACAAAGATCACTACTTTCTACTGATTATTTGAATATATTCGTTTGTGTTTCGTTTTGACGAATGCTGCCCAAACTTTCCGAAGATTTATAGGTCAGGTAATTCATGGCTTAACGTTCGTCAGTACACTGGTAAACGACTCTCTAAGGACCCTTTTTGAACGACCGCATAAGTACAGAATCGCGGTCAATCCGTGGAAGTGAGAATTCGGAAAAGAATCCCTACAATTAGTGGGTCACGTCGTAAGTGCTGACGACCTTAAGCCGGTTCCTCAAGAAGTGGGTGAAATTAAAGAATATCCTGTTCCACACTTGTTTCGATAGCTACGAAGACTTCTTGGGTTAGTGAGCTTCTACCGGCGCTCCATGCCTGACTGTGCTGAAGTAGCCCGACCGCTGACAGGTTGGTTGCAAGGACGAGTTAACTTGTTTCACATGACCCAAGCCGCCATTATTGCTTCCAGAAAACTGAAGCTTTCTCTAAGTCCTGAAGCTCTTCTCTGTCGTCGCTATTTAGAAGCACCACTAGGAATCATGACAGATGCTACGAGTGTGGCTGTGGGTACGGTAGTATAAATTTGTTCATGGTCAATGGAAACCATTATCTTTCTTCCCGAAACTACTTAATGCTTCCCAATCACCATACAGTACGTTTCGCAGAAGGTTGCCGGCTATTTAACTGGCCGTCAAGCATTTTAGATTTATCCTTGGATGGTACACTTTTGCAGTATTCACCGACAATAAGCCCCCGCGGGAGCAACTGACGCAAAGCAGGACGGATATTCGTCGCGAGAAGTTCAGCATATGAAATCTGTTTCATAGTTCACTTCAAAATAAGATACGTTAAAGGCAAAAAAATGAGGCAGCTAGTGCTTCGTCTCATACGCATGTAAGCGTCTTAGAAGACGATCGTATGCAGGTTGTTGAAATGGCCAAGTTGCAGGTGGTGGATTAGGACCTAAAACTTTTGGGAGATGATGTAAACACCTCACCATATCTTGAAGAAGTGATGCTCGATGACTCTATCCATCGCCTATGATGTATCCAAGAGTAAACCACGTCCGTTTGTGCCACTGTGAATGAGACGATTGGTCTTCTATAAGACGCATGGTATTTCTCACCTTAGTGTTCCGCAACGGTGAAGTTAGATACTGTCCACTACGTCTCGTCACATATGAATCAAGATTTTTGACGGAGGTTCGTAGCCTGCTTTGCGTGCCAGCAACCAGAAGTGCAGGGGCATCCTTTCGTCTGCTGGAAGATTTTCCGCACCAGATGACATTTAATTATCTACACGTCGACATCGTTGGACCACTGCTTTCGTCAAATGGTCTCGTCTGCATTTTAATATGTGTAGACAAATTGAGTTTCGAGCCGAATAACTATCGACTGAGATTCCGCGTTGACCCTTTGTTACGGTATTTGACACAACTAAGCCTTTTCATAAGGTCCCTTACACAGTCTTTTCAACAAGGCTTCAAGTTCTTGATATTTTCCATCGGCCAATACAGTTGGTTAGGATAAACAATAATACTCCAATCCTTAGAAGTATCCACATCGGTGTCGTTTAAGTCACTATCCTTGGATCACTACCACTTCTGACCAATGTTAGTGATATATCTACCCGCGTCCGGAGCCAAAAATCATTCTTGTTCGCACACCACCATCAGGTGACTTATAAATTTCCCAAAGGGTTTTCCGCATATCGAACTCCTTTAATATTAAATGACCATTATAGCTTAGAAATGCGGGGAAGGGCCTAGTAACTACATCTCACTTCTGATAAGCGTGGTTGGGCGTGTTTCGATGGACACCCAGAAGGTGTACCCATCACGCTTGATGGAATCAAATTGCCTCATTTGAGTTCAAATACAGTGTTAGATGTGGATAACTCTTACTGCATCTCTTGTGGGGAAGAAGGTCAACACTGAATGTAGTCATATTTCGTCTTTTACCTTGAAGCGAAATCACACTACTACAACTCAGTTGAACATAATAGCCACATTGCCTTGTTTCTACACCAAAATTGTCTTCATCACCAGGGAAAAGTTTGTATCATACTTTTTGGCCAATCCTTAAATCGCCTTGGAAAGATTGGACACCGAACTTTCCGAGAGCTGACTCAATATCTCCCCTTCGGGCAACAGCAACAACCTGTCTCTTGGTACCAATCTCAAACAAGCATTATCTTCTAAGGTTATCGGACGGCTAGATGTCTAAGTTTCTTCGCACGATTTATCTAGCGGTTAACACAATGCAAAAGTACTTTCGATCTTCATTTCTTTTGCTACCCACACTAGCTGGCGCTTTGCAGTAATGCAAAACTGATAGACCTGCAGGCAACTACCAAACTCCTCATGGCTGCATTATACTTACTAGTATGAGACAGAATGGATGCAATATAATAAGCAGGTAATGATTAACCATGCCACAAGGCCGATTCGTTCTGACCAAGTCACCTGACAATGAACTGCATGGAGTGAAAGACGTAGTAAAGTGACAAACGACACAGACGCTTAAACTTAGATCTCCAGCGTAGCAATTTCGCTAAAATTATAAAAGTCAGTATCACGATGAATCTCGTTGAGCCGCAGGCCATTGATTCTGACGAATGCCTCTGCTTTTATTTTTTTAAATTTCATTTATCACTAAATAAGAGCAAGTAATAATGGAATACAAATAAAAATCTTTGTTGTTTGTGAATTACATTGATAAAACTGCCAACCAAGTCACCACATGAACATGGAAACACAACAGGTTCTTGAAGGGGTAACATCGGTTTGGGGTCACCTTATTTATGTGAAGAAAGTTGTCAGCAGAGTTCAGAAAAAGGCTTAGTTCAAGTGAAGCTGAAGTAAATTTTACAAACAGCAGGAACTTGTGATTAAAAATCTTTCAGCAAGTAATTACGAGTGAATAATTTTCACATGGCTAAATAATGTTATAAACTGACTAGGGTTTAAGGCAGTACCTAAAGGAAAAGAAATTTGGAAACAGAAAGAGTCACTGGTTCAGATTTTTGTCTTAATCAGCCCATTCCTTATTTCATTGTACATAAAGTAGCGCAGAAGTCACAGCGCCTGTTGCAACTGAGAAGTTATGGCGGGAGGTGAGGGGTTTCTGTTTTCTGTACAATTTAATTAGCGTATGATAACAATTGAAGACAGAAACTTTCAACTTATGGTTTCATATCCAGAGAATTTTTATAGTTTTGGCTATGTGCGTTTTTCATAAAGGTTTCGACCAGTTCAGGAGGGAATTATTGGGTTACTCATTTCACTTAGTTGTTTCCATGAGGCCAACTTCATGATAAAAGCTAAATAACTTCACTGAACTTGACTTCACTGCTTTAATTGGCTCTCCGTTTTGATTTTAGTCGTCAATCTGGCATAGATATAGCAATGTTTCACGTAATTAGGTGAAAGCACTTACTTCAGGCGCACTTTGGAGCCTTCGTGTTTTAGCCTGAAGTCTATTCGGTCTAATTCTGGGCGTCCCTTAAATTTTTCAATTAGTTCTGTTGGCCGTTTACATTCCGTTGATTTGTAATATCCAACCACAGGCGGCGATGAAACGTGAACGATATATGCAATAATATTACCAAATGTGGCTTCTTATAACTGTGGACATAGGTTATTTCAAAACCTAGGGCGCACTACCTTCACTTCGTAAACTTCGGGCGCATTACATACGACCTGGGTGCACTTTCGAACTTTTGACATTTTCAGGGGTAATGTTTGGAAGTTTCGGGGAATGTCCTGCCTCTCATCTGCGCCTGTAGTTAATTTTTTTGGGTTTTCGCTCAAAACTTACAATGTGTGCTCGAAGGAAATGCTGGCTGGGTAACCCAAACTCATCCTATTAAGCAGTTATAAGTGTTCATACGGAAAAGGAGGATTAGTTTGATTTGCATGAGAGTTACAAAAGGGAAAACTATGTCGTACTTTTCCGTAGCTTATCAAAATTTTGTCTGCAACCACAGAGGTTTTCTACCTTGACCTGGTAATGTGAATGCGCATGAGATATCTATGTCTAATGTGGGTCAAGGGGTTTTGAAATAAAAGGACATAACACGGATGTAGGTTAGGTGCAGTGTTGTATACATCACTTTTGACGGTGATGAAATAAAGTAACCCAGAAATACTTAGTATTTAAGATAGTATACCCGTATAACTTGTTATTTCTTGCGTTATTTTATTCCTGCTGATCCGTTTTCTTCTTGAGAGGGTTTGTCAAGTGGGATTACACAACTTGGTCTGGTAAGGACTTGTATTTATTGATTACCCTGTGAGAAGTGTAGGCTCGCACTAAGTTGATCCAACTGGTTGTTTTATATTCTTGTAGTGGGCTTCGAAATGAAACTTCTCTACCGGGGTGTGCGTGATAACCGAAATTGTTGGTTGGAGACAGCAGGTGGCACCAAATTAATCCCAGTGGCGCAGATGTATGCACTATCTTCACTTTGATCCCCGTACCGGATCTCACTACTGTGTGGGCAGCCGGGAAGTGTCAACCGCCCTCACAACTCTGTCAGCACTCAAGTTTCCCCAAACTGTTGTCCATCTCTCTCACCATAGCCTTCTAATCTTCCTTTACGTCTCTCAATTAACATCATCTTCAATTTTTCGTGGCTCTGCAGCCTTCAACAACAATCTGGATCCACAGAACAGCATCCTTGGTCTCCTTAAACCACGCTCCAAATTACATATTGGAGCCTTCATTGTCCGTAAAGCTGGTCAACAGGCTTCGTTGGCAAATGCTAGCAACTCAGGGCATGGATGTGTGCTGTGTTTGTGAGATACACATACAAGACCCAAGTGTGGTTATTCATCTGACCTCTCCCGGCCAATCTGGTGAATCCGCTAAATTCACCCTTCTAGTTGCTAAAGATTTGATAGCCAGCTCTTGCAGTCTTGCAGGTGTGGACATATCATTAAACACTAGGGCAGAAAACTCACTACTAGACTGGATCCCAGTTGATAGTCGTTTTTGCGCTATCCGGCTGAACGGCACAGTGGGAACTAAAAGGAATAGTAGAACTCGCCTTTGTCTCTGTAATCTCTGCTGACGCACCCACTGACTGTATGTAGTTCGGATGAAGTGAAGGACGAGTTCTGCCGAAAACTGTCTAGCCTCTCGAAAGCCACACTTTCGGACGTGGTGGTTGTTGCAGGTGATTTCAACATACAGGTGGGTAGACCGAATAAGGCAGAAAAGCACTTAGGTGGCACTTTCGGAGTCCCGACTGAATGAACAGATAACGGTGATCGCCTACTACAACTATGCTCAAATAATCGCCTATTTTTAGCTAGCATCACTTTTAGACACAAAGGAAGATACTGTCTCACATGGTGTCCACCGAGCTCAACTCAGTGATGGACACAGATGGACTGCATTGCCATCAGTCATCACTGGAGAGGATCGGTGGGAGATTGCCGCTACTCCTAAAGTACGTGTTTGGAAAGCGACCATGCGTTGGTCCGAGCGCGTGTGTGCCTGCATCTCAGTGGACGTAATAAAAATTTGGCAACAAAGCGACTACGAGTGCTGTTGGACAACGGAAACACCAAAGCCGTGTTCAGTGAGGTTGGGTAAGCAGTTATCGGAACAGAAGACTATCGCTCATCCAGAAGAAGCTTGGTGCCATTTCCAGTTTGCTGTATACCAAAGATTGAAAAGTCCAAGGCAAACAATATCCACAAAGATTCTGTCACCAAAAACCGACTCTGTTGTTACTTTGCGAACTGGTATCATTTTCTGTCCGGCAAGTCATTCATCAAAAATGATGTGATTTTTGAGTTGAGGAGTTTTTCTGATACATTGAGGCAGTAAAAACTGAATCATTGATCATTCGAAGACTAAAAAGTTATACTCAATTCATGCGAAATGTGTCAATACTGACATAACCATAAAGTGCTACTGTTTTTGGAGGACTCGTTGCGTGATGTCCTGTCTACCATTCTTTCAAGGCCAATAGGGATTTTGGTCGTATTGTGCAAGGCCACTTTTTAGCGCCACATATTATTACAATAGTATTATTAGAAGACAAACGTGGTACAAGGGCATCAAGAAATGCGCCACACAAAATAATATAACAACAGTAATATAACACAAAGCAAAAGAAAATGGATAAAGAGAAAAAGACAATGAGAATAGGATCATTAGAAGGGCAGTCCAGTAAGATACGTTCGAAACAAAACATTCATTCAGCAGCAGCATGACCGTCACTGGTTTCGATTTTGAGCCGTGTCTGATAACGTCTTGAACCACTGAGTTGCGTAATATCTTGGACCCCACCCAGGAATTCGTGATGCACCAACAAATGCCAACCCGATACAACCGTCTTTCCTCGCAAGGCTCCACATCATACATTGACCACCCCTCCTCTTCTTCCATCCAGTCCCAGAGTTAGCAAACAATGAACGGCGTGGAAACCTTTGGGACAACATGCGTAACACGTGTCCAAGCCACCGAAGCAGGTGTTTCCAAATGACTTCAGTTATTGAATGACGATCTCCCCCATGCCCAAACACGCTGTCTTACCTCAGAATTACTTACATGGTGTTGTCACCGGATACGAGAGATTCTACGGATACCACAATGGTCGTACACAGAGTAGTCGGACGTCCTCAGCTTGACGAGGGCAGGTATCACAGGCGTAAAGCGCAACTGCTTACACTGAGGCGTTGTAAACTCGACCTTTTACAGTCAGACTAATATCACGATGGCGCGAAAGATGGCACAGATAGGCGTATGCCACTCTTTCTTTATGCGATTGGAAATTTCTTCACGCTACCCAGATATACGAACTTTTTGATTACTTTCAACGGTTCACCACCGAATGTAATTGCAGACGCCTGCCAATCTTGCAGAAGTATTTTGCACTTCAGTGGTGCAAAGCACACACCATACTTACGCACACTAGTCGCCAACTGACTAATTGCGATTTGAGTAACCTGTATGTTATCGCACAGTAAGACGATATGGTCCACATATTCAAGGTTGAGTAGCCGGGTGGTAGATCCACACTACCACCACGCACCTCCTTCAGAGCTGTCTCAAGGATGTCATCCATTTCAGAGTTAAGGAGTAATGGAGAAATTGGACAACCCTGGCTAACCCTACTCTTTTTTTGGAACAGTGGAGACAAGCGGTTGTATGCTCTCATGCTACCTGTGATGTTATTATATATATAGGTCTTTCAGGATGTTAATAAATTTCTCAGGCACGCCCCTCTCTAACAGACAGTTCCAAGGTACAGCTCTGCCCGACGAATCGAAGGCAGCCCTAATGTCAAGAAACATGATTATTCGCCTGCAATACGCGTGGCGATGTTCAAGCGTCTGGCGGAGTCTAAACACATGATCTGACCAACACATCCATTACCTGAAAGAAATCCGGCCTGCTCCTCGTGAATCATTTTCTCACGCGTTTTGAAAAGTTTGTGAGGTGTGGTGGCAGCCAATACTTTTGACGCAACTGGTAGCAAACTTATATCCGGATGATTGTCACACATTGCGTAGACCTTTTCCAAAGATGGGCATAATGATGGTCTCATTCCACACTGAGTCTGGGGTACCTTTTCAAACAATGTAATCAGTTCTCTGACCAGAGTTGTTCCTCCACCCTTAAAAAGAGTTGGGTGTCTTATAGGAGTAAAAATTCGATACTGTGGTAGATGGTCATTCCATTTTCGTCTGTTAATTAGAAATGTCACACACAGAAGCTGTCTTTTTTCACTAACTAGCATTTCACCGGCATTTCTGATAAGCAGATTAAAATGGAGCTGCGGATAAGTTGTCTGCAGCGAGTGCTTCAGAACTTGGAGTTCCTTATGGACTTCTGCTTCGTTAGGTAGGTCAGTTTTAACCGATCATGGAACACGATACATTGAAACTCAAGATGCAGGAGCAGTGGGTCAGCTAAACTGTTTATCGGAGTGCTCCGCCTAGGGTTATAAGTGTCTTTGAGATTGTTTGTCGGCGTACCATATGCCTCACAGATCATCTCGCTAACACTAAGCTTCTTGCTGCCAGTGACTTGGATGAACTGGAACAGCTTCCGACTATCGCCGGATGCAGCTACTGCTTCCATCTCACTCGTGTGTTCTGACCAGCAAACCTCACAGTCCTTGGGTAAGCGTTGTGTAGTCTTTCGCGTAAGACTTACGCGCTAACCGTAGGAATGGTCTAACAAGCGTCAAGGTGTTGCAGCGAGCTCACAGAGACCCAGTGTTTTTTAGCGGGATGTTCTTCCAAGCCTCAAGCGGCTTTGCCCGTCATTTTGCAAGTGCAGCCAATGGTCGTCCACACTTTCTAGAGGATGAGTAGCTAGCCTTAAATTTAGCTCGGATTGGTATTTATCTACAATATTAAGTGCAACCAATTCGCTTGGATCGACCGACCTGTTCATGAAGACGATTTTGATGACCACCAAAACGCAAGAAAAACTGAGGATACACTGAAGCAAGATCAGTGTTAAGTACTCCATATGGAGCGACAGTTCTTTATGTACCTACGCCATCGGTGGCTAGTTTCAGTATGATCGATTTGAGTCCAGGCCTGAGTGGCAGAAGGAAGACGCCAAGTAACACAATGGTGATGGCTGTACCAGAAGTTGGTGCTGGCTAGAAACGGGTTGTGATCTGCTGAAAGCTGCAGAAGATGATCCCCATTATCTGACCTGCGGCCAACTAGTCCTCAGTGGGCATCTAAACGACTCTCCTCTGAACCTAGTCGCCCGACCTATGCGTTCAGGTCCCCAGCTAGCACTACAATATCTGCCGAGCGCACTTGGTTAGTAGGATTCATCCTTGTTCGCATCCAGGTTGCAGTCCGTTGAAGCATAGGCAGAGGTAACAAACAGACTTTGTTTCTTTTCGCGGTTACGTCTTACTCGAGATGAATCTTCTAGCTTAACAACTCATAGATGACTGTCGACGACGGTTCAGTAAAGTAGTGCAGCTTTGGCTCAAGCACTTAGTGCGACAACGACACCAGCAACGCCGGTGGCCTATGCCACAGGGTCCCCGGATAAACGCACACGAAACATACTTTGTGAGCTATCAGATGGGGAATTAATTCGAAGCACTTCATTGGGATCTTGTATGCAGGTCTATGATATGCAGCAAACATCAATAGCGAGGCTTTCCGAGTGCTAGCCAAACCTTCCTGTCATCCGAACTGCATCAAGGCGCGAAGGTTGAAGGTGGCGAGCTTAAATGGTATGCGTGGCTTCAGTATAGCTGTCAGATGGCGCACTGGAGGACAGCTTTATGGGGGGAACTGTCTAGCGACTGAAAACAGTAAACATAGAGTAGCTGAGTAAATTGAAGATAAAGGCAAAAGCGAAAATGGTAATCATAAGAAATACTGTCCGTATGTTAAAACAACAAAAACAATATAATAGCAATAAATTGAACAATTAGTTATAGCGTTTGCGGTGCAGAAGGCTTGAATATTTTCAGGAAAGTTGGATGAGTGCTTCAAAATCTTCGTTATATATTGTAATTTCATGTAAGTGCTAAGATACTGCCTGGGTACCCATACGGAGGCAGGTGATTGTCTTAGGGGACCACTCCCCAAGCCTCTGACAAAGTCTAATCCACAAGACAGTGGAGCAACATCAGGAACTACATTCCCATGGTTGCCGGTAACCAAAATGGGTTCGTACGCCATTCGTTCCATCTGGAACCTGGAGCCCATTTGCACCACTGGTTTGAAATCAGGGTTTTCAAACTCTCGTAGATGGACTCTTGGTATCCATCAATCTGGCAATAGGCGCCGGACATTCTCTTTCGCCCTTTCACTTCTATAGAAAACACCCCCGTCACGTGAAGGCAGTGAATAGAACTTCTCTGCAGAGGCTGTGAACGCATAGCAGCGCATTTGGGGGTATTACAGCGCACATCCTATTACTAAACTGTAACTGGTTACAACTCCCTAAACACTAAAATTTGATTGAGGTCAATAAATCCCCACCTAAAATCATGTGAATTACATTCTAGTGCTTATTATCATTTTGTTTTGAGGTGGACTACCTAAAATCCTAATGAACATTCGTGACTTGTGAGGGTCAACCTGGTTGGCTATGAAAGGGAATTTTTAACGATGGTTTTGGGTGTGTCGCAATTTATTGCGGATTGATAGAAGTAGGTCGGTGAACTACACCCACTAGCTGTATGAAAATGGGTTCGCCGTAAGATCTAGTGATACTGGTCTCGATCCTTAGTGCAACCATGGTGTGCACTTTTAAATCTACGACTAGAGCCATGGATATCAATCTGTGACAGAAACTACTTTGATACAGTGAATCTCCATAAACGATCAGTTGAATTTAATTCTAGACAAACTTATGGTTCTAATTGAATAACGAAATAGCCAAACGTACTCTTTTTCTTCGACTATGGTGCGGATAAGAGAGTTTTCACCAGTTTTCCATACAAATTCTGCATAACACATGAAGCAACAAAAGCTTTCTGAGCTTTCACCCGTCAAAGACATGCTAGCTGTTTGTTGTCTTTTGATTACTCTCACTTCAAAGATTGCATGGTTTTCTAGCCCCATCGTATTATCACTTCCGTCTAAGGAAATGGTTGTGTTAGTCTATAGAAAATTAGCTACCCCATGATCTTCAAACAGCTATTTTGAGAGGGGTTGAGATTTTATTTCACTAATGTAGAAGTAGGATATAACTGTTGCTCTCTAGGCAGTTGAATTTCAACCAGTAGGTCATGGGTCTGAACCATGCCCCACGTAGGTGTCGGCAACTAGGGAGTAACATCAGCCCAGATACAATGGTGTGGCTCATTACTTACAGCTTGAATGAACTTGTACCTGGTTACTGAGTGCATTTCGACTTTTGTGATTCAACCACGTAACTAAGTCAAATTCATAAGATGAGGCGAAACATCATCAGTGAAATGTGGGGCTAGTGCGAAGTGGTGAATTCATTGTGGAGGACTAAAATAGAGTCAAAAGATTTTCACTGGAAGTTGAATTAAGATAAAATTGGTCGTAAAAGGAGGATTTGAGGCATTACTTACATTTCATATCACGATCCAGAAATAAATACGTGGTCAACACTTCTTTCAGTCTGAACCACTTTAGAGAGCATTTCAGGCCAATCATCAATTTTCTCTCTTGGATTTCGTTTAGGTTGTAATCTACCGTAGGATTGATATGCGGTAGTACATGTTTGAGCATAATAGAGATCGTCATTCATCGAGTAAAGTCAGTAAAGTAGTCTTGAAACTGGTTGGGACGAGCTGAGATGGTGTGACGCTGTTATATGAAGGATGATTGTTTAGGGTCAGCGTCTGATTTTAGTGTCTCATGACTCTGTTGATGGGGTCTGAGAGATCATGCAAATCATTGTTTATTGCCTTGTAGATTTTATTGTCTTTTCCGAGTTTCTTCGTTTGGTCACAGCAACCTTTTATTCTATACGTTTCTAAAAAGTCAAACCCCGTATTACTAAGAAATCAGTGATTTAGTCCACCTTCGAAAAAAGTTGCGTTATGGAAAGTATTCAGTACTATTACTTGTCGCTCAACACTTTGAATATCTACATTCTTCGACCCGGACCAGTGGTCAGTATCGTACTCGGACTTAATGTAGCTCTATGTGAATAAACGTGTTTCAGTTTGCTGAGTTATATGTGGCACCACAAAAAGATCTCGGTTACTGAAGCACATTAGTAAATTCATTATTTATGTTTTTACGGTGATGTGTTCTTGCTAATTTCAGCGTCTGTCCATATTTCTGGGCCAGGCCCACCTGGTCATGCCTCTCCAACAAAGCTGGCCGTACCTAGTACATCCCGCAGCCAGCTACGTGAGAGCGAGTCCCGTAAGGAGAAGAGAATCGGACATCGACGCGTAACAGAGGAGGGCACTGTTACTTATAAAAAGGTGAGCTTTTAAAAATTACTCTTTATTTTTATCGTTAGCCCCATACTTTCAGCATCATGGTCTGAATAACACAGAGGTGCTAGCTAACTTAAAACGATTATGAAAATAAAGGGAAGCTTTTATGTAGTTAATAAGTCAGAGTGATATCATAATCTTCTATTCTCCCATTACAGTTTCTAGAACATTTCATATGTCAAAACATTTTCGTAGCAGTTAAAAATACAGATTAGGACCTCTGCGCGTTGCTGTTGGCGCAGCCAAGTGTAATACAACCAATCTGGGTAGCCTAGTACTTGAAGTCACAAGTAATTTTCGATGTGTGCGTATCGATTTATTGAACAATAATCTTATTTTTGATGTCTAAGCTACACTGGTAGTTACTTCATGATTGTGCCTAATCTCATGCTCAAGAATTTTTCAATTCCTTGCTACATTTACGCCTGCCACTCTAACTACAACCAAATTTTTGCTATGCACTTAAGTTACGGATTAGCTTTAACTACGAATGGGGTCACTGCTAATAAAGTTTTTTAAATAGCATTTCAAAGTTACCGGTTACTTCAGTCATCACGAGCTAAAAACAGTACTGATTGCCTGCATTCAGTGTTAGAATCAGTTTGCTCTAGAATGTGCATTTCTTCTCTTACCTGTTTTACTAACTTTCTAGTAAGGTTTGATTTTTCTTACTGAGACTCCAACTCAATACCTCACATTACAAATGTTAGCGGGCTGACTCTCAGGTTGATGAGTAAAGATAGTTACCATTTCTGTATCCGGATCTCAAAATACCTTTCTAAAGGCCAATATCTTTAGAAGAACACGAGGGTTGGTTATTAGTCTAGCTGACAAAAATGGAGTTTAAAACAATTGATACCAGTTTGTTTGAAATACAGACACAAGTACATTCCGCTTGTTGATTTATTAAGTCATGATACATCCGTGCTATATACTGTAGTGTTAACTACTACTTCTCATCAGGATGTAACTCTGGGAAATATCAAGGCATTCTCAAGATAGTTTAAGTCTATTCGACATATTTCAGCTGACGGTCATACAGTTTATTTAATGTGGTGAAACTAGTGTATCTAAATCCAAGTAAGTGAACTTTTGTTGCTCCTATCTGTGAAGGTTAGGTTATTTAAGATGACAAAAATAAAGGAGCAGAAACTTTAATGCAAGTCACATCAAACTATTATATAAGTTTGTACAAACATTGTGATACTATAGTAACATGTTTTTCTCTTGGAAATAATTCAGATTTGACCTAGTTCTTGTGATTTATAGGTATAAAATAATTGTTTCTCATTTTGTAACATGAAATAAGATTACAAGCATACTTTGTTTGCATTGTCATATGACATATGAACTGTTATTGCATTGAATAATTCACTAATTTGCCTACCGTGTTGTGAGCAGTTCGATACATATTTTTGTTTGTATTAGGTAACAAAAATATAATAAAATTTATTTGATACGACATCACTTTATGTTCTCTTGTAGAAACCTACATCAGAGCTTCAAGGAGCTATTCAACTTGGCATACAACATCATATTGGCTCACTACAACAGAAACCTGACCGAGATCTTCTGTATGGAGATTTTAACATTATCGACACAGTTAATTTTCCTCATGAAGGCACTAAAACAACACAAGCACATCCTTATTCTGACTTCCGATTTCGAATATATGCACCCGTGGCCTTTCGGTGTTTTCGGAAGTCTTACAAATTAGATATTCGTGATTTTCTAGTAAGTATAGCACTGTGTTTACCGTCGGCAGTTCGAGTAATTTCCTTATTAGTTAGCTTTGTTATGTTCAAGTTATTGTTTTGATAAAATAATCCTATATGCGGTTCGCTTTGTTTCAATGTGAATTCATGTACAACACAGATCAGAGTAAGTATAGACTGTGATGTCGAACATCAATGTTCAACCATTCTAAATCGATTATAGTGGACTAACTTCAAGTTAAGATTATTCTTAAAAGAACTGTAACCATTCTCTTTATAAGCGACCATGATTATTGAATTTCAACTTTTCAGGGAAGTTCTTTTTTTCCGTCTATATTATTCAGGCGATGAATTCCTGCTAACCAGAAACAATTACTGAGTTCACGGCTTACTAAACATATTGAACGAAGTTTTAAAATTATTCACGCTTTGTTAAAAGTTCTGTAGTTTGTATCTTTCTGTGTCATAGTGTTGACAGTTTGCCAACATGGAAAGCTATGCATCTAATTAATTGTTTATTACTGTCGATATCATACGTATTTTATGAAGCCTAGTTGATGTCATAGTTTTTCTGTGTTTATTCTACCAGTCTAAGTATTTTACACCAATTTAATTTGGTTGTGTGTTTATCATTTTTTTTATCTTTTGACTTCTGTCACTCAAATTCTTGAATTATCTACTTGCATATTGCAAAGAGAATACAAGTGAGACAGGTGAACCAAACAATGGAGATGATCTACACGGGATATTATCGTTGTACTAGTCTTTTAATGAATTCTTACTAGCTTCTGCATGTTAAAAACTTTCGAACTGGAGCCAACCTGTTAATTCCTAATTAGTCACAATTATCGTTGTACAATATCTTTGTAATCGGTTGAAGTTATGAGAAATAAAGTAAAGCGATACAGTTAGTATGAATTAACTTATCAGCTTTTGTATGGTTTCACACTGGTCAATATAAGTAAAATTCATGCTACGTTTTGATGTTCACCAACCTCACCAACTAAACTTGAATATCTAAAGTGCATTACAAAATACTCTTCCTCAGTTTCATATGTTCAAGTTCCTTAGTGCTACTGAAAAATGATTGCAACCTTGCCTTCCTAACTGAAATTCCAGTAGCATAGTTCAAGCATTTTGCGAAAGTTTTATCGAATCCAAAAGTTGGGAAACCCTGTCTTTTTGTTCCTAATACTTTTTAAGACTAAGCGTGAATAGTCTGTCATCATCTGGATTATAAGTGCTGTTATATGAGAAGTACTTTTGCACATGGTTTGAACTAAGGTATTTCACGTCAAACTATTGAGCAATAGTGTCTTCAAATATACATCATTTACAAATACTTCCGTTCATAGTTTTCTCTAGTTGGAATGAAAAAAAGATTTATTTTACTTAAAATGAAATTTGTTTAGCTTAGTTTACTGAGTTTCACAACGAAGCTCGTTGTCAAGCTTCCTATGTTTCCAGGAACCTAAACGTTAAATAGCGGTGGAAGTAATTATTTTATTATTATTTGTCCCTTGGGTTCCTAGTGGAATATGAGGCTTCAGTGACACGTCGCCATTTCACTCTGTTCGCCACAGTCTTTTCAACCTGGCTCCACTACCGCCCAGAATCTTTCATTTCTTCCTCACATGATCTCCTCCATGCCACCCTCGCTTCAGACACCCAACTCGTCGTCTCCCCTTCGGGTTCCACTCGAGGACCTGGCTCGTAGTGTCCCCGAATCGTCTTCTCAGTGTACGCCAAATCCATCTCCACTTCATTTTGCATATTTGTTGGTTGATGGGTTCTCGGTAGGTTAGTTGGCTGATCAGAGTGAGTTCCTGGTTGCTTATTCTTTCTGGCAATCCATCTGATCTTCAGTATCGAGTGAGCGTAGGTGGCAGGTGTTGATGAATGTCTGTAGTTTGTAGGGAATGCTGTTCGTGACGCGCCAAGTTCCTGAACCATATAGATGCATTGACTTGACTGAATTAGTGTTGAAAATCCTGAAATTGTTCTTCATACTGAGTGCAGTAGAGCTGCACATTGGTTTCAGGTTAACGAAGGCCTGTCCTGCTTTTCGCATCCTGGCTTTGACGTCCTCATCTGTGCCGCTGCCTGTAATTGAAACGATGCTGCTACTCCCTTTAGGTTTCTCCCGTTGATGGTGATTGTTGCTTGTTGTTGTTGTTGTTGTTGGTTGGTCATCTTCATCACCCCTGTCTACTCTGCGTTCATTTGAAGTCCCGTATTCGCTGTCCTGCCTCTTCTGCCTACCTGTTAGTTTTCGCCTGTAGATCTTCAAGTTTGTGTCATATTAGACATAAACCGTCATCGTCGGTGAAGTCCAAATATTCTAGGGTCTCTTCATCGGTCAAACAGCTTATGTTCATCTTCTCCCTCCTAACACTTTCTTGCACGATCCAGTCCGGTCCAGTCGACCACAATCAGGAGGATGATCGGTGGTAGTAGGCGGCAGCTTTGCCTTACTCGTGTCTTCGCTTCAAAGGCGTCAGTGAGCTTTCCATCGTGAATCACTTGGCACGCAGCATCATATAGCATATAGCTGTTGAATGAGGTTGATGAAGGTTTGAGGCACTAAAACCATAGTGTTGAAGCAGCTGCCTGCCACACTACTTCTCAGTTGATGCTGTCGAAGGCCTTTACAAAGTGGAGGTGAGGTAGAGAGTTGACTGTCATTCTATGCTCTGTCCTATGATGATGCGTAGCATTGCAGTTTGGTCCGCACATGATTTGTTCTTCGTAAAGTCAACCAGCCTGTTTCGGTAGTAATTTTGAATCCAGAGCATGTTTTAGTCTCTCCAGGATGATGCGGCTTAATCTATTGCTTATGGTGTACAGGGAGGGGAGCATGATTCTGTACCAGTTGTTGAAGAAACTTAGGTCTCCCTTCTTTGGAAGTTTGACCAGGTAGCCCTTCTTCTTCCAATCGGAATGCACCTTTTCTTCCTTCCTTCCTTCCTTCCTCCGAAACCTTCCATAGTAGTTGTGTGAGCCTGTGTGCTGTTGTCTCTGAGTCTGTTTTCAGTGCCTCTGGAGGAATTCCATCTGGTCCAGCTGCTTTCCTGGTTTTCAACAGCTTTATGGCGTTAAGGACTTCACTCCGCATTTTGTCGGCTGTTTGTGTTCACTGATAGTTCTGTGGGTGGGGTTGCTGGTGGTATTTCTGGAGGAGTTGCAGGTGTTGGTGTTTTTCGTTTCAAGAGTGTCTTGAAGTCTCTCTGGTCAGCGTATTGTTTCTTTTGTTCCTCCTCTTTGGTAACTAGCTTTCCTTCACTATGTTTCATTGATTTCGTCTAAGTTGATCTCTTCCCTTCCAGATAGTAACGTGGTTATTTGATATAATGTTGTCAGGTCTCTGTCACTCCTACCTGCAGCCTGTTCTGCTTCACTTGCCAATGTGTCGTAGAAGTGTCTTTTGTCTTTGCGCACATTCTTCTTCACTTCTCTGTCAAGTGTAGTGTTTTATAGGCTGGGTTGTATCCACTTCCTCCTTTCGTTGTTCATCCTTGCACTGGTTCACCTTCTGCTTCACCATCTCTACCAGCTTCCATGTGTCCGTCGAGATCCATTCCCCGTCTTGTCCTGCTTCTTCTTCCTTCCTAATACGGTTTTGCAGGTTCCCTTCCACATCTCTTTCTGAGAGTTGCAGTGTTCTTCTGCAGAGGTTCCTTCAGAGATGCTGCTCAATGTCTCCCATTTTGTCCTGATGACTGGCTGACGTGAAGATGTCCTTTGTAGTTTCGCCTTTCAGTTCAGTTTCTGTTCTGGGTATTGAACTTGAACTGTGGTCTGTCACCACCAACTACTTTGAAGGCTTTGAAGTTGATTTTGAAGGTACATTCCTGGCACTAGATATTGAGTGTTGTGAACCTACATCTGCTCCCCTTCTCATCTGATCTTGTGTCCAGTAGGCTGCGTCTCCATCTCCACTTTCTTCACATTGAGGTGAAGTCGATCTGATTTTTGGTATAGTGTGTCCTGGTGTGGTGTCTGGTGAAATCAAATCGATGTTGCTGCCTTGTGAATATCCTTGTGTGTGCACACTGCTTCCAATCACCAAATCGTTGAATGCGCAGGAGTCTGCAAACAGTTCTCCATTCGCATTCATTTCCCCCAGTGCTTCTCTACCCATGATGAGTTCTCTTCCTGTGTTGTCCACCCCAGTTTGGCACTCATGTCACCCCACCCCTTGGAATGAGTTTTGATGTCGCCAACTTTGGTGGGGTTTTGTCCACTACTGATTGCAGTTGTCTGTATAATTCCTCTTTCTTCAATTGGTCTGCATTATTTGTGGGTGCGTAGTGTAGCATTGTATGGTTGTGACTTTCCTTCTTTTGAGTTGAATCTTACTGTCATGATCCTGATGCTGAAGGAGGAGATTGGTTCCCACTGTATGAGAAAGAACCTTCGATATTCTTGGGGACATCACGATAGCCACTCCAAAACTGAGTGTGCTCATGGTGTTGTCTTCTGGGTGACAATATCGGAGTAGATTAGATTACCGACTCTCCAGTTAAGTGTTTGTAGGGTCCTCTTCCATTCCATCTGGTTTCGCAGATTCCCAGCCTAGCACTTCTATGCCACACCCTCCCATCTCTTTGGCAATCTGTGCAGCCTTGCTAGCCAACTTCAAACATGGTGCACACATTCCATGTCCCCATGTTTACTTTTGCTTTCATCAAGAGAGCGAATATACATTGGCCAATTGGCTTCCCGAAGGCTTTCAACAACCGGCGTCATTCCGCTCCCTCGATTCCAGTGAGGAGTAGGTTTATTTTTATTTTTAATATTTTCTTTGTGGTTTGAAGGTTTTTCAGCGTTTGGATTGGTTTCATGGGATAGGGTTGCTAACCCTATGCCCAACCTTCCCTCTTTATCCGTGCTTAGGACCGGCTAGTAACTAGTGAAGTAGTTAACTATGCGGGATTATTTACTGACCACAGTTAAGTAAAACAGGAAATGTTTGCTACAAAACTGTTTGCGTGATTGCTCCTTGGAGATGTTGGAAATAAATATTAAGGCGTAATAATTTGATAATTTAGAAGATTTTTTTTGAAAACTTTTATTTATCGACAGTGCACATGTACTTTAAAACATTGTAATGTTTGGGAATCTCGTTCGTCATATATATATAATTCATATTACTATTCAACACTTCCTAATGCACGTCATTCGAATCATCCTCAATCGAAAGTACTTTCATCATTTGAAATGTATGTACTTTCGTAATCGCTAACGATTTTTTTTTCTCTCTCTCTCTCTCTCTCTCTCTCTGTATATATATATATATATATATATATATATATATATATATATATATATATATATATATATACGCGGATGTTAACAGTTTTGAATGTACACATAGTTGGTTGCATTATGAACAACTGACTGTTTACGGTTTTGGTTAGTTTTTGAAGTTGTAGTGAACAGGTGTTAAGTAATTAAAATCGATTATCCTTTTTCAGTGCAGTCATGGTATATCCTTCAATCAGTGAACAATAAGTCATATATACATCATTTTGTGCATGTTTTCTGAACAGAATATTATTTACACTTGTTGTTTGTGGGCCAATACTCTCATGTAGTTATCCAAATCTTGATTAGTGGAATCCTCAGCTCCCTCACTTGATCGACGACATGAATGTATGTATACCTTGAAATGTTCACTTCTTCATTGAATTTTGCCTAATCGATTTGTTTTGTAAAAATACAAATAGATGGCAATATCCAGTTATTCAGTAGACACTAGTTTGGGACTTGGCATCACTGTATAACTGTCAGAGTTGCCACACCTCATGTCAGTACAAGGTAGGCACATAGATGATGGAGAAATAGGGAAAAAAGTGATCAGAGGTGATGGGAATTAGTAAACCGAGAACGTGAAAGAATAGAGCAATGATGATATTCAGTATGATTATTGGGTCGTGACAATATATGGATTCATCTACCCCGCATATTGGTTCTGAGCCATATCGCGTAGTACTGAACAAGCTATTTCGTTTGTCACATAGATACTGACCAGGAAATCTACACTTCCGTATGCTAATCACACCGAAAGTCAGAATTTGCGGATTGATGTAATTTTTTGGGCCTCTTCTAATCTTTTATGGGCCTAAACTTGTTTCAGCCAACATTGTAAGATGAGGCAGAAGGTGACTAAGGATGAATAACACATTCCAACCAACTAAGTCAATGAAACTTCACAACCCCATCTACTGATGCTCATCTCCCACCTTAAACTCTACGCTTATCTTCTGTTATTAACCTAGGCGCATCGCGACACACGAACTATGCTCCGAAGAAAACAATGACCAAACTCCCGTATTTCCTTTATATGCAGTCCCATCCTAATCAATAAACGACCAGGCATTACTGCGTAACGGTTCGAGTTGACACAGCTCATATCAATATATCAAGTAACAAGGCAGTGAAGTGGAAGGTGAAGAAGAGAAAACAGCCAAAAGCACTAGAAGAGAGAAAGGAAGAATGAGAAAATGGTGAGAGTCGGTATAGTGCCAAGATGAGGATAATGTGTGTATATATCTGCGTCACTGACTTAGATTCTGAACCGTATCACCTACAGTCTCCAACCACTGGTTCATCTTGTTCTGCGGACCCCAGCCGGTTAGTCTGCATCGCCCCACATGGCTCGAACCAACAGTCAAAGACTTCATGCACTGATGCCATGTTTTAGTCTGGCCGCATCGGGCCTTTTTCCAGCCTGGACCCACCTCAGCCAACATTGTGTGACAGGGCAATCGGTGACTAGGCATACATAGTACGTGTCCCAACCATCTCAGTCGATGAATGTTCATAACCTCGTCAACTGACTTACCTCTTCTCCCTAAAACTCTACAACTGACTTCTGCATTACTCGCGTGGTGACACCACGGAATACGGCGGCCTATACTACAAAGGCAACGGTAGTCAAGCACCTGAAGCCTTCTCATGTCTTCCACCTTCAATGGCCATGTTTCGCAGCCATAGAGTAGAACAGAGCGGACTGCTGTGCCTCTTGTATTCGTGCAGAGATTTCATCGGCCATACATACAGTGACCATGTTCCACATTCATATAGGAGAACTGAGTGAGCTGGAGGGTAGTAAAATCGATCCTTGATGGAGAATCGGATATCATGGCAGTGAATGAAATGTCATTATCTACTTTCTCATGGTCGCCTGTGAACAAAGTTCATACATTAATTATTGATTTTGAAGTCCGTAGTTTGTTTGTATAACTGATTCGGAAATAGAGTTTTCAGTTCTCTTAGGTCAACTATTCATACCCACCAATTCAGTATTACATGCCAAACATTCATTCTCACTTTCACTTATATGAAAGTACTCTTCCCACTTGAAGGCGGTGAATAAGTCCTATCCGTCATCGACCTTAATTAGAAGTAAAAAATATGATAGTAAATAATTGGTCAAAAAGAATCTTAATGTTAGAAAATAAAACTGATTATCTAACGAAATATGTTTATCAGGGCTTGACTTTTTCTTTCCTTGATACCTGAACAATAATAGCGCTAATAATAGTAAGCATAGAAAGCTCGTTCAAATAGTGATAGAATCAGAGAGGAACTCGTTTCTTTTTCCGTTGCACCTTAAATGTCATCTTTTGTTTCCGTAAAAAGCTAAAGAATATATAATGGAGTCACAAGTAATGGTGAAGTTGAAACTACGAAGTCGTTGGTTTCAGCCACTCTCCATCTGATAAGATTTCGAAGGCTGAGTTTTTTTTTTATTAACCCTTAATCATTGATGTGGCTCATGTCCCATTAGAAGAATCTGTATTTGTTTGTCGAGTTGCTTGATCTGTAGAACCTCATTTATGAAGCTATGATACATCAACAATCGCTAACCCTTTTATGATTATTTCTTACTTCCTGGGGAGATGTTACAAATCCCTCTTATCTGTACTTCATTCATTCAGTACAGATGTTACGCTATGCTGTTACAGACTCTGCTGAAACTCATGTGTAAGGGCTCATATGAATCGTTATGTAGAATAGTGAGATCTGGTGTTCTCTACCTTGGATATCCGCTATTATCATTGTGTGTTAAGTCGACTCTTACCATAGTGAGATGTTTCCCACTTCTAGACCAAGTACTATCGGTAAGCCGTCTCATTATTGTCATTTTGCGAGACTATCATATGCTTTCTTCCATACAGTCAGCAGTTCTCACACGAACTAAGAAAAAAATGTTTGCATACCTCTCTCTCTCTCTCTCAATGTCACACTTTCCATAACTAATTTATTTGATAGGTGTAGTTATTACAGCAGCAGAATCAAGTGATTGAAAATAGATTAACTAACTGGTGCATAAATACCGTACACTGCAGATGGAACACAAATACATTCTCATCTTCAACCGTGTAACCACTGACTGTGAGAAGATGAATGTGTATAAGTGACTTAGAATAGGCATAAATAAATACTGATAAAGTGAAAAATTGCTTGAGCATCGCGTATGATAAATTTTCATGTATCCATTTCCTATTCAGAATTCCCTGTGTAGTCAGTCATTAAGAGAACTTTCCAATCCCGGTGCAAGTGGTTCAATATTCTACATCAGTCAAGATGACGAATTTATCATAAAAACTGTGCAGCACAAAGAAGGTGAATTTTTACAAAAATTATTACCAGAGTATTTCATGAATCTTATGCAACATCCCCGTACTTTACTACCTAAATATTATGGCTTATATTGTTATCAGGTAAGTCTTGAATACAGTAAGTGCAAAATTTCGTCGTATTGTGTTGTTCAAAGTTAAGTGATACAATTGCTTTTTAGTATGTTAATTACTCCCTTTCTGCATGAAAATTTACGTGTTAGGGTGCGAACGATAATTATTTTTTGAGTCAGTGATATATAGATAGTTGAACCTTGACAAATGAAAAAGCCTAAAATTTTTAGCTCATTGTTTAAACGTTTACGACCCAAACCCATAAGTGACATCTTTCCACTACCTTAGCACATCTTCGACCATAAAAGTTATCTCACTAATGGTAGCTGTTTTCCCTTGTTTCAATTGGTGTGTAATTGGAATATCTTGGTGCAAAGGTGTTTCCAGTGAAGCTTGAACGGAACCCTAAGTTGTCTCAACTTTTGGAGTAGTCACTTTTGGGATACTGGTTCGACGCTCTAACGATTAAGCCGCGAGATCCAAATACGATTCAGGTTTTAATATCACTCTAATCATCTAGAGTCATGTTTAGTGATACTTGACAGTTCGTTCTTCATTATCATACTATCTGTTCAGCCAGATCTTTTTATCTTGATCCAAATCATCTGAAGTAGGGAAAGGCAGAGCTATTGCTCGATTATTAGGTGTCTGAGATAGCTTTCTTAAGTAATAACTTTTGTCTTAACGTGGTCGGGCTCGTATATCGCAATCGCTCAATGGACTATGCTCTTTAGAACGATTGTCCCACAGTTAGTTAGTGGCAATAACTTACTTTGATGGCAGATTCATACTGCTGACTATACGTTGTGATATTGGTGAAGTGTTTCTTGCGAATGATAAGCATTTCGTTATGATGTCGTCCTTATAGGAAGGAAGTCCGAAATGTTCGGCCCTAAAAATATCACATTCTTCGCTGCATTGTGGTCTTCTGGTGCTGCTGATATGCGTTTTCTTAGTTCAAACGTACTACAGTAAATTCCATATCTCAAACTTCCAACCTCAAGAAAACTTTCATTAGTTCCTGTGATCATGTACTCACAACGTTGAGACCACCCTTAGTAATCCACTTTGTTTTTCAAGTACCTGAAGAAGAAATAACGTCTTGCATTTTGCTCAGCGAGTGGACGTCAGCCACCTTTAATCCTCTTTTAGAACTCAAGTCCCAAGTAATCTCTATCAAGTTCCCTCGTCTTTGCCTTCTAATTTATCGTCATATCTCACTAATTCTACAGCAAGTTTCATTTCTCTCAATTCAACAGAGAATGATAATACTTTGAGTTCGCGAGATGTAACATCCTTGTTCTCCTGAAACCGATTCCTAACCAAATATCGTGGCTTTCATTGTTTAAGCCTTTCGTAAAATCAAATATTCTGCTTCGTTAGGTGAAACTCTGGTATCTTAGTTCTTGAATGTATGGTGACCCACTAATAACTAAAGAAGTCTCTTCACAAATACAGAAGGCTGAATTGGCTTTCGCTGACTTACGCCACGAATGGAACCTGCAGGTTACCTTATTGCCTGTTAAGAGTCAAGTGTACTGTGCATCAATCCTCTCCGCCATGCTCTTTATGGCTGTGGAACACTAAACGTTGAGGACCTCAGCTATCCAATAATCATTGCTTTCGTAGCGTAATCAGTGTGTCATAACTACTACATTCGTAACATAAAGGGTGGGTGCAGAGTCTTAGGTAAGAAATGGCACGTCAGCCGATAAGTTTGTAAACCTTAATCGACTAGTGGCTAGTCCGTGTGTTACCGTTCACCTTGACACTCAGTGTTAGTTGAATGTTAACTGAATTTGGAAGGCTAGTCTTAACTTTATCCGAATGGACTTGGAGAAATTCTAAGGTACGCGTGGGTTTTCTCTGGCCTAGGTTTCTCTATCGACACCGAATACATCGTATGTTATGATTCGTTATTTCTTGACTTTTCACTTTGATTTGAGTTGGAAAGTGCTGTTAGTCGACAATATCGTCAGTTTTAAGAAACTCGTGAAGTACATTACTTCCTAGATTGTCTTATTTTTGAGAATTTGCATCAAACTTCGTGTTTTTGGTTTATCTGTGACAGCACGAGTTTCTTCATGATGAATATATTCGAAAAGCTTTCTTTCCATAGAGTCGATTGGGAACTTCATGTCGCACGAATCATGTTCTTTTACGGCGATCATTATTTTAATGGTTGCAGGCATAGAAGTAGTTCATAGGTCTGACTTCCCAGTAATTCGTTTCATAGGTGTGTAGAATACAATTTTTTGTGTGAGCTTGGTAAATCACTGGTAACTTTTAGGCTTTAATGAGTTTAAGCATTTTCACAGACGTCTGACCATTTGTAGCATATATATCATGTTTGTTCCGAAATGCACTTGCATAAAATGATGAAAATCGTTCACAATCTGTTCGAACTAAAACATATTGGAGTCCAACTCACTGACTGGTCATTTTACCGCCCCTTTTTGTATATTTTTTGGTTTTTCCTACTGAGTAGTATTATATGCTATTTCATAATTTCTGGAAAAGTTAAACCAAAGATACTTCGTTTTTAGAATTCGCATATCGTGATTGGCCATTGTCTCGTACCTTTTTGTTACAGTTGCAGACCACCTTATTGTGAAATATGTTTGTAAATAAGTGAACATGGAATATCTTTTGATCGTTTCCTTATACGCACTAACGGTGAATTGGAATGTATACATACTCCTGATAAAGCTGTGGCTTTTTGACTTAGTTAGTCCACTTTCAGGTGATAGATAGACAGTGCCATTAAGCTTTACTGAATAAATATAATCTACACTCTAGTGGATAAGCCTGCATTGGACTACTGAATCGTTTTTATTTTCTAAACTTATGTAAGTCATTCGTACACAAAGATAAGTTTCACTGTGAAACACTGGTTATCATTCCACTGTTTGGTTTGTAAATAGCGAACGGAATTAAAGGTAGTTTTCTCCTCACCCTATAACCTATTTATTCTTGCTTTGGGTTTCTTCCTCAGGATAATTCCGAATCATATGCGAGTTTGATTTCATGTTAGATCTGTCGACAGAAATCCGCGTAGGTCTAGGTTTTTTGCTTATCTGCACTGATCATCAAGGCGTATCGGCAATTTTAAGAAGATTCATATTCCCTAAGATATTCAAACCCGTGGAAATTCATATTGGAATTCGTATCACTGTTTGCTAAGTTAGAGATTTTACGGCTGAACTATTTCGTTCACAAGTGACCATCTGCTTTGGGCCACTAGGTAGTATCTCCTTAGCTTTGAGACACTAGATTTAACTTTCAGACGTGTTCAAGAATGTTCACATCGGTAGTGATTGGTAATCAAGCAGTATCGTTAGTTCTTATAAAACAGGTGTGGCTTATATCATAGTGCGAGAACCTCTTAGTGGTTGTTGAGTTAATTTACTGAATTAGTAATTAGTCACGAAAAGGTAAATCAATATTATATGTTACTATTACATTTAAAGATACTAAAGTAATTTTGTCATATTGTTTGCATACTAATTGATGCTGCATTACAGTAGTTTTCCACTCACATAATACGACATTATAAATCAGAAAACAATCCATTTATTCTACTATCTAATAAACAGCATAATAGAAAATCCACTTCTCTGACTTTATTGTGAATAGTAATTTGGCATAGTTAACACACAAACAATAGATGTGTTGTTCACCACATCCCCTGGCATACTGTATAAACTGAACCAAAGCTGTTTTATAGGAAGGCTAATTGTGGTCAGATTAAGCCATGATACCATCAAATGTAACGTCTGAATGCTGGCCTGAGTTGTGTGGGTTATATGAATGTTATCCTTATGATTTTAGGAATGTATAACTATTTCAATATCATTTTATTTCTGTTCATTTCCCGTTTTTTCGTTGTTGTAGCAATTCGGACCACTACAGCTTCATATAGTTTGCAAAGCATTACACAATTATTTACACCTACGAAGCTGCACTTTTTATGCAATTTTATAGACTTCAAAACCAAAATTTAACCTCATACAGTTGAATAAGTTGAGGGTTGAATAAATAGATTATAAATGAGATATATCCGTAAAATCCAAACGAGGTGAAAATACAAATTTCTGACGTTTCGCACCGTCGTGGAAGTCGCTTCTTCAGAGAAATTCATTTTCATACCTCATTGGTATTTTATTTCAGTTATTATAATGTTTAAAACCGTTTTTTTACTAGCCCGATTCTATGCTTTTTCCTTGTTTTTCTTCCTACTTATTCATCCATTGTGAAAATATAGTCAGGGCATAAAAATATTCGTTTTGTGGTGATGAATAACCTACTTCCGTCTTCTGTGCGTATTCATGAGAAATATGATTTAAAAGGATCAACTTATGGTCGTCAGGCAAGCGATGCCGAACGTGCTAAAGGTTCACCAACCCTTAAAGATCTTGACTTTTTGTAAGTTTCTTTTTCGTTTCCTGATGCGTTATTGTTATTGCCAGTATTTCAGAGTAAACGTTGCATGGGGACGTATAGTTACTGAAATATTTTCGCGTCATTATGCTTATCACAGCTCCACCGCAGCCAACTTATTAGGTTAAAAGTAGTCGAGTAGTAACGGTCGACTTATGCGCGCCCAGTTACGCTTGACTTTATCTTCCTTGTTATCAACACACTTTTTCATCATGTGAATTCTTTCTGCATATTTTGTGTATGAAGTTTTCCAAGTTATCTCATCTCTACAACTGCTTTTTGCACTTCACGCTTTTGGAGTATCCACAATTGCAACAAATATCAGTGTGGCAGTGTCAGTAGTAAACTGGTAGGAAGCCATGGACATTGATTTCGTATTTGCAAGTATTTTGTAGCCAAATCATGTTGATTGAACTCATATCTCCTCTAGCGCTCATCGGTAACTAGCTTCGAGAGGTGATTCCTGAAGTTCCAGTGAGAAGTTGTGACCGGTGGGGCGAACCATGAGGACAAAATACTCAACTATGACATTGGGTGATGGTTGAGCTATGCCGTGAACTGACAGAAGTTGGGAATATGGACCATTGGATTCCGACCATGTGGCCCAATGGTCACGTGCTGGCCACGGAACCCGAAGGTCCTGGGTTCGGTCCCTTACGGGGTGGGGTCATGGGTGCGCACTGCTGAGGAGTCCCGTACTAGGACAAAACGGCTATCCAGTACTGCTTGGTTTCCAACATTCCTCCAATACATGTCAGTCCATGATGAATACCAACTTGAAAAATCATTGAATCCTCATTACCCTTCCCCCCCCCATTTCATGCTTGGTTAGAAAATTTCACAATAAATATTCAGTCTACATGTGACCATCATTACAAATGCAATGCATGATGCGTTTATAGTTCTCCAAGATGAGGCTGATGAGAGTAATTTTCTTGATAAATTTCACTCATCTAGCCTTCATCTTGGAAAAAGAAGAACAAAATGATTGCATTTCTTTTCTAGTTGTAGTACTGTTAAGAAAGCCAGATGGAACGATGAAACGAAGCATAGACAATCCGATAACATCGGTTAGGCAGTACACTCACTTTTATAGGTCTACACTTCTGAGATTTAAATGAAACCTGGTGAAATGCTTACGTAGTTAATCATTCAAAAGTCATTCGATCTGGTGACTCCATAGAAGAGGAGCTTGACATTATGCGTAGCCTGTTTAGTAAGAATGGATACCCTAGAGAACTCGTGACTATGCACTTGAAAGAAACGAAGGCCAAACCAAGGACGAGCCTGTTTCCTCGAAACTTGACTTCAAAGACGCAACGTTCTATAAGAGCTTTTCGGGAAACTTTCAACACTACAAAATTATGTCTTTTACAGTTAGCCGATTTTTAGTGCGCGGTAAAAAGATAGACTTCCTAATTCTGTGTGTTCTGTTTGCTTGTATCAGTTTACTTGCTCCTGCGAAGTTAGTTGCTTTGCGCGTATTCTCATTCCAGACCTCCATGGAATATCTGTTTAGCATCCGGCTTATCTAAGGGATAGACGAAAAGGTTGAGATGGTACTGTACCATCTCTAAGTAAAATTCTTTTGCTTTTCAAACACTCTTTAGAACCTCATCTGTGAACTGTGTGCAAGCTACCGAAATCCACATTTTTGTATGACCTCGTAATTACAGGGAAAAGTAATTAATTTGAATGAAATATCCCTACAATCCCTTCAATGCTTCTTATGTTTGTGATGGGATACTCAGTATTTTCTGCTTTATCTTTATGTATTGATGCTCATTCCTTCCCTTTAGAGAGAATCATCCAGATGGCATATGGCTAGAAGCTGAAACTTACGATGCACTGTTGAAAACTATTGAGAGGGACTGCCTCGTGAGTTGATAATTATTTTTTTGTTTGGGGTTTATGCGGATTTATTTATCTCAAGATATTATTCGTCGCGAACTGATATCCGTTGGGGAACCATTAAAACTAGAGCACTGGATATCTGTTTCTCCCCAGTACGGGACTCCTCAGCAGCACACACCCAAATTAATTTCTTTTCTCATACGAACTGTTTTCATTGTTTCATTTTATTCAGAAAAATGTGCCATAAATGAGTTAATTTTCCAAATATTTTGGTCTGAATGTTGCTCCAGAGTTAGAAAATGTCCGTTTCCCGCTACGTTTTTCAATTTTTACTATTGTACCCGAGAAACAGATAAATTGCATAGTGTTTAACAATGGTTTAGCTATCCAGAATCGCTTTCTAAGTATCGTGTGAAATTTGACTGCGGTACACACGTCTTTATTCTAGTAAAGTGTTTACAGTGGAGTTCTTGTTCTGTTTGTGTCAAGATGATAACTGTTAGATAATAAATCAATATGATCATTAAGTTTCACCATGGGCTTCCATACAGTCAAATGTCATTTGAATTTCTAAGCTATTAGATTATGAGAGCGCTTACTGGCTGTCTAACGAAACAAGTTCCAAACTATGTAGCATTCTTCTCATCCTATACAGTATTTCGTCTGATTTGTTCAGCTGAGTTTGAGTAGTGAGTCGGCACTTTCACAGTGCTTGGTTTTCTACTGTTATGATCAGATTCTTAATTCACTCCACCTACTGACAATACTTAGTAATCAAGTCTTTCTACAATCACACGATTTAATTTATGCAGGAACTGAATCAGTCAGGGCTTAAAAAGGTCGCTCTGCCAACTAATAAACTGGCCAATTAGACTTCATTATTTCGGCTGGAAAAGTAGTTTTTCATGACTTATGTACTTGGTTCGATCGGAGGAGTGGAATTTATGACGGCAACTACCTAATGATAGTGACCAATAAACCCAAAGGTAATTGTTCATAATAATAACGGACGGGGAGTGTGGCTACGATTATATAAAGTTCATAAGAAGAGGAGGTGTGAATTAGGGATACATGATTTGGGCATGATACAACCGATGTTAGACGTGGACAGAATAACGTGGCTAGTAATAAAATAGCAAAGAATGTCTTAGTAAACACATAAATTGTACTGCCGTTCAGTGAATAAAAGGCAAAGGTACACTTTATGAGAATATGACACATGTTTGGGACGGATATAAAGAACAGTAAGAATCGTAAATATCTGCTGTTACTCTATCTGTTAATCAGGTAAGAAATGTTGTTTATATCTACGACACAATCAATACCAGGAAGTTGTCGACCTTCTGATTCACAAAATTGGACTTGTAAATGAAGAATTCTTCGAAACATGTTGAGATATATTTTTGATAAGAACTTTGCCGTATTCCAATGTACTTCCTACTTCAAAGAGATAGGTAGGTAGATCGATGAAATTGGGAGTTGACCAAAGTAGTCTTTATCGCCATCGAATAACTAATCGGATTTTACTTTCATCACTTATCTTGTTTACTGTCGAATGAGGTGATCAGAAGTTATGTGATCAATGTTGCTTGAAGATTTAGAGTTGAAAATGTTTTTTTATTATCAGTTGTTAGTTCGGTACTTATACTACTTGAATGTTGATTTTTGTGCTTTGAAGTTGGTGTACAGTTGTTGCGTGCGTTTCATGCATGTATTGCATACGTCCGTTGGCAAAAGTGTAACAAATGTATCATACACGGTTTGATTTACTAGGTAATAAGCCATTGTGAATTGGTGACCCATAGAATGAAAGTTGAATGCACCAAATAAATGGAACTATCACCCATCGTTTAATTTTCATTGTTATTTTTGTTATTGTTGTAACGTTTTCCATTCCACTAAATGCGTTTTCTTCATGCAGTAGATGGATAACTTGAGTTGATGAAACCAAAAATAGTACCAAGTATATCTCGTTTTATAAGTGTTACTCAAACTACGAATGTCATCTGCCTAATTTTAAAACTGGCTTATTTGTTCAACATGCTTTTCCTCTTCTTTTTCTTTGTTCATAGGTACTTAAATCTTTCCGAATTATGGATTACTCTCTTCTGTTAGGTATACACAATTTAGACCAGGCCAAACGTGATCGAGTGAGTGTGGCTTTTTGTTGTTGAAAATCCTATGTATGTGTCTGACAGACTAGATGATACCGTTTCTTTTGCGAAGATGCTTCATACTAAACGTTTCTTGTGAATTGTATTATTTAGACAATCCCGGTAAATCCCGGTATTTTTACCCAGGACGACTGTACATATGAGTCGTTAAATTTGGCCTCATTATAAATACTTGCTTTCGCAGTAACTGCGTTTCTGTTTACCACGCTTATAAAGGAAACAAAATAACATGGACAGTCAAAAGTAATAGTAGAACTGTATCTCAGTGTTATGTTACCAGTAAACATGGTAGGATAACATGACCCGAATTGGAGAGTTTGCTACGATTCGATATTGAATATTTAAACCATGACACAAAAAGCAGACCTTTGGATACTTTAATCTGACCCGCAACCTAACCACCACCAAGTAATTACCAGACAAAGCAAGAAAAAAATTGAACATGTGTATTCTTTTTTGAAACTCATAACGATTAGGGATATGATTCGTCTGTGTATGCCGATTTTGAAGGTGATTTTGTGAATTAATCACTCACGTAACGAGCTTGTTGAGCCAGAATAAAAACTACTCAATTTCAGTTTTTCCAAAATGGCGTGATTTAAAAATAATTTTTGATATATTCACATCTAATTTTTGGAGAAGAGTGATGCTTCTTAGTCAATATAAAGCATACTGAGGTCTTCATAAATCAGCTACTGGAATATGACTCAAGTGTATCAAATTTTTACAGAAGTATCCACGTCTGATCTTCGATGGAATGATGATACCGTATATCACTTGTCCCTCTATCACTTATATACCTGTTCATTAAATTGTAATTTCTCCTCAATTTTCGTTACACTTCCTTACTATTTTCGAAAGACTATTGTAATTTTCAGAGTTTCTTAATGTTGATGCGCTCGACTAAGTTTTAATAAATCTCTTTTTGTATCGAAGCCCAATAATGAACTATGGCGAAGTCCTGTTTATATTTAGTACTGGTTCGCAGTCCAATTCGAGGACAAAAACTGTTCTTTATTTGAGCCTCTCTCACTTAGTGTCATTAATGGAACTTGAACTAATTTCCCATAACTTTAAAGGTGCACTTTAGATTCCATTAGTGTTCACTAACAAGTGCTATACCATAGAAAGTGGTTATAAGGTGAATTTCATTCTGTATAGTACATTCTAGTGAAAATGAGTGATATCAACCGAAATTGATTTATGTTTTCATCCTCTGATTTAGATTCACATTAGACTGACCAACTCCAAGTCAGCTGTTTCAAATCATAATTATCGGATATTAGTGACATGAACGCTTTTCCGATAACTCATAAAATAATAATCCTAGTTGACTCTTAGCTGGTGGTGGTAATACAATTGGATGGTGTTTTTTATGATAATTTGTAAGTGGTTAATATCTGTTTGACCATATTTTGGCATAATTCTGCTCCAATCGTTTCTCTTTCTCCATTCAGCTTCATAAAAGGAAATGGGCGTATGAAATAATTTATTTCACTTAGCGTATAAAGTGGTTCAGTGGATAACTTGGTATCCAATGTCAACTTTAAAAAATTTCGTTGACGAGAAACTCTGTTAGATAACTTTTATTATCTCTGTTTTCCTTCTTTGATGATTCTCTTTCTCTGACTTCTGATTCTAGAATTATGCCTGATTCTCATTGGCCCAAAACTTATTTCTATCGATCTAGTTATGAGGAATGATTATTATTGCTCAGATATATAAGATGTAAAGCTATTTTCATTGATGCAATCAGTTATGATAAAGTTTAAATAAGTTGAAAAATAGAATTCTCGACACTTCGACAGACCGAAAAGTCTCTCTCTCTCTCTCTCTCTCTCTCTCTCTCTCTCTCTCTCTCTGCAACTTTATATATACATATATAATTTGGACAAACAGATTGCCAAGACAGTGTTGCGAAACTTAGCTTAAAAAGACATCGATTTATCCTGCCACGTATTTTACCAGCATAGAGTAATAAAATTGGCAATGGCAGGAAAAAACTACAATCGACAAGAGAGGAAAAAATAATGAAAACAAAGGAAATTACAGAAACCAAAGGTTGAAAATCTAAAAGAAGAAAGAATAAACAGCTACAGTGAAGAAACGTTTCTCCTCTTGGACTAGCTCGTTTTCTTAGGTTAGAACATGCTGGTATAGTTTCTCATCAAAGTTCAAGATACAAGGGATAATAAAAAGACTTCATCCATTGGTGTCGTCACCGTTAGCTTTCTTCACCCTTATCTTACTTCGACTAACGTTACACGACGATATGGTGTTCCTACTTCAAACGGAATATTCTGCTAAGACACCTGCGATTAAAAAAACCTGTAGTCTGTTCAAATCTTCTACCGTCGACCACGGTGTCTCAGGCGGATGCAATAAAACAGAAAACTTTCGCATATAATATTCTTGTCGTTTGATCCCGATCAATAGCTGCTACCTTGGTGCGGTGGTCGGCTTGTATATCACGATGAACCATCGAACTAAGCTGATGGAACGCTTGTTCCCTCAAGGTCCTACCATATCAGAAAGGTTTTTTGGATACTGGTAAGACAAAAAGCAGCTACCCTTAAAATATTCTTAAACGATGAGATGATGCATTATGGTGGCTTAGATAAGTCATCACGGGTTGTTGGGAATCCAAAACCACAAGACGCATGTCCAACCACATCTCTCATACTACAGACCAGTTGTGACACCAGAAGGGCCGCACGTGGCCTTCCTCAAGAAGATGTCGCACATTTAGTCTGCTGTTGAAACAGCAATAAAGGCAGGTGGTAACCTACACCGGAAGGTTAACAAACGCCATTGAATTTTCGCGACGTCATCCGAACTGATTGGTACGAGAAGACTGATTTCAGCTTGTTCTGACCAGGATGAAAAGTGAAGGCAACTTAAACGTAGGTTGACTAAGAGTCTTCGCATCAATTACGAGCAGTGGGGCGGGGGGGGGTCGCGTAAGCGAGGGGAACGAAGAAATCACCAGCGTTGGGTAACATTCGACAAGTGTTTACGCTTATTACGGATACCGGTAAGAAAAGACGATGGTGACTGAAACCGTCACCGTAAAGGATGGGATACTGATAACCTTTCAGGATAGGCGGCTAAAACATTTGGCAGAACACTTTGAAACACAGCCCAACTGGCCAATAACAAGGCTTCAGTCGCCTAACATCCAGTCCGAACCTAAATGGGACGCAGATGTCGATCCTCCATCTCTCCTTGAAGTTGAGAAAGCTGTATCAAACCTGAAACGATGCAAAGCAGCTGAACCTAACAGTTTGCCAGCTGACATTTTCAAAGATGGCGGTAGGAATTTACCAATTAAAGTGACGCAGGTACTGCAGAGTGTATGGGAATCGAAGGCAGTGTCATAAGACTGATGTACTTCACTGATCACCCCAGTTTACAACAAGAGAGAGGAGTCTTTGTAACAACCACAGGGCGAATTATCTTGACTAATATCGTGTCCGAGATCATAGGGTTCATAGTCATATGATGCCTAACTGGAGTTCGTGAACAGCAAACTCGAGAAAACTAGACGGGTTTCAGGCCTGATCAAGGGTGCATTGATCATACTTTCATCCTCTGGAAAAACCAGGAACATAAGTATACTTACCGTCAGCTGACACTTACCGTATTTCTTGACATGAAGACGGTGTTTGACTCTGTTGACCATGAGGTGTTGTGGCAGTGTCTGATTGTGAAGAGAGTACCGAGCAAGTGTATAATGCTTATCAAAGCTCTCTACTAGGACTCACGCAGATAGGTTATGGGAGTTGTCATTTAAACTGATGAGAACTAGTGATGTACGCCAGCGACACCCACCTCCGTTCCTATTTTACTTCGTTATGGATCTACTAATGGACATAATCTTAGGTACATCTGAATTCACAGTGATTTACCTACTCCCTGGAGGTCATCTGGTTAACTTAGAGTATACAGACGATATTGTCATGCTAGGTGAAGACGCTGACAAAACCCAGGGTCTTGCTGACAAAATCTCAGCTTGGACACAGAAAGCGCCTTTAGCATTTGCCAACTTGTATCACCTATGGTGCCAGCGAGGTATCTGACTATCTATCAAAGGACGGGTATACTGCGTTGCACTTCGTTCTGTCTTGTTTTACGGCTGAGAAAACCGTTAGAAGTAGAAGACATGAAGCAATTACAGGGTCCTGACCACAGATGTCTTCGTAGCGCCGCTCTCGTGTGAACAATATTCAGATCAGACGAAGGGTACTGGACAAGACGGACAAATCAAGTGATGAGCTCGTGAACCTTATTCTACTGAGATGGCTTGAAGATATACTGCGCATACCGAGCCACTGCCAACCTCGACATATCACGTAAGGGGAAGCTGGATTAGGTTGGAAGAGGATTCTGGGTGGCCGGACCAAGGCGTGACACTAGTCGACAAAATCCCTGACTGTTGATCTAGACCGTGTGGGAGAATGTATACTGTCAGCTGGGGTTTACGAGACGAAAGGAATCAGCGGTTGAGAACTGTTGGTAATATGCCTGAAAACCGGTCGCAATGGTGCAGTTGTATTCACTCCTTGACATCTAAATATCAACAGTAACCGTTATCTTCTGATTGTTTATTCTCTCACATGACTTTGTTTACTTTGCTATCACGCTTTTTCTATCCACCTGCTTTTTGTGTACTTCTGTGAAGTGTGGCAACTTGAACCGATGCGAGGTTCTATATGAATAACCACTCCATGGAGTAAAAAGGTTCAATATATTTGACACTATCCGATAACAAATGCATTTCATTTCCAATGAAGACATAAATACAAACAAATAAATAAAAGCAAAACATGTCACTAAAGTGCATCTGTTGAACTTTGAAGATCATAGAGTCTAAAAATGTGCAGAATTCACGTTGACTTTGTACAAGTATACAAACAGCACTCACCCATGGTCATTGCACCAGACAATCTACATGTTCGCATATGACGTAGACTTAC